AGAGAGAGAGAGAGAGAGAGAGGGAGGGAGAGAGAGATGTAGAGACAGAGAGACAGAAAGACAAAGAGATGGAGAGAGAGGGGGGGGGGAGAAAGAAAGAGAGAGAGAGCGAGAAAGCATAAAAAAAGAAGTGACAAGTACAAAAGAAAAAAACAACCGTAGAAACACACATACACCACGAGGTGGAATGAAAAGGAAAAGCGTGAGAAAGGATGAAAGATAATGAAAGCAAGAGAGGGGATAGAGAGAGGAGGAGAGAGTTAGATATATAGATGCATAGCTAATGAGTCGGAAGAAAAAGAATGAGCCCTTGAGATGGAGCCTAGGTCCCCGAGAAGGCCTAGGATGGAGCCCTCGGGATGGTTCTTCGTCTGTTGGTCTAGGTGAACCAGATGATCCTGATTGGATCGAGATTTTCTTAACTCGCACTGGAGACATCTCAGCGAGCCCGCCATCTCGAGAAACCACATGAGTCGCCTGTTTATCTACCCCCCCCCCCCCCCCCTAAGTTTACATAGTCAGCTCGTTAAGGCGTTTGGTTTGTAATTGGAAGGATGAATGTAATCTTGCCTGGTTTTGGAATGTGAATGACAGTTGCAAATCGCAAGGAGCCTGAAAAAGTGTGCAACTGCCACATGTTATCAAAGTCTGTAATTCAGAAATTTACATTCTAAAATAACACTTTTTACATCTTTGGAAGCGGAAGAGTGGGTGTTTCTGTGGGAAGATGACTGGTGATTTGGTTGCTTTTCATACGACACCGGGGCTGTATTGCTAAGATCCGAGATGTATGATGAGAGTTCTTCTAATGTAAAATCTGCGTTGTAGGTTTCTGGGGCTATATCTGAAAGCTATCTCGCCTATTAGAGGATCAAATTTTACCAAATTCCACACTTATAACAAGCATAGCAAGGAGTCTTGAAATCCGCAATCACATTTCAGAAAAAAGTTTCGTTTTCATGGCTACGGTGACCATATTGGATTTTATTGACATACCTTACGTAATGAATTCCGTACTTATTTTTTTATGGAAATAGATTGGGTTTTTTTTTGCATACATGTTAACAAACAGTACGTCCTCTAATTTGTCTGTTGAATTTTTCCTAAACAAATTAGAAAATATTTAAATAATTTTTTCCTGAGGTAGCTTAGTATTCAAGTTTGCAAAAAATCCGTGAAAATCCACACTCCAAACATCACCAACAAACATCTATTCTATATATCAATCATTCAAAAGAATTTTTTAAAGTTTTACACCTTTTCTTCATTCTGTGAAAATTTCATGAACACTGGATGAAAAATGGTGGTTATTTAAAAAAAAGCATAGAGAAAAACCGCGTTTTGAGAAAACGGGCGATAAAGAAAGATAAAAGAATATTGACTTTATGAGGAAATGGTGATAACAAACATGCCCGGTATGGGAAGAAATAAGGCTTTAGGAGGTTCTAATGCTATGGAATAATTGTGACAGAGGCTGAAGAAGCTAAAAATACCTAAAACTCAAAATCCAAAATTTTGAGCCGAATCGAGACTTTTGGGGTGTAGATCTGGCTCCAATTAATACACTGTTATTTGCAGTCGGTCTTGCTGTTTTGGAAGGTGTTGTTGTAAGCGCTTCACTATCGCCTATCGCTCACAGGAGACTCGAGTTCGATTCCGGAATTGGGAGAATTTTTATCGAGTATCTTGACGGTCTTTCTGCAGGAACGTTGCATTCCTTTTAATATTGGCTGGCCTCTTAAATGATCTAAACTGAGTCGGTGTGGGGCGTAAAAATTCTTTAAAATTTGAGAGTAGCGACAAAACTGCCACAAAAAGGCTGAAACGTGTCTTTCTTTGATTAATAATAATAATAATAATAGATAGCATTTGTATAGCG